CAAAAAAAGCTTGTCTAATTTGGAAAGGGTAAGAATAGCATTTTTGTATGACTAAACCAAAATTATTTCTTTTTTCTTTTCCTTCTTTAGCTTTTTTTTCTTGAATATTTTTAAGGCCAAATCTTTCAATTTTAAGAAAGCTTCTGTTTGGCATGACTAAGCATCTCACTGAGGAATACATGGAACTTTGTAGAATGTCATCACTGTAAAATGCTCTATGGGCTGAGAAATGAATTTGATTTTCAGGTGTAATAAATTAGTAAAAGGTGGAGTATATCTGTGGGTTACAGATTCTGAACTGCCACAACAAGGCTGGGAGTATATTTTGGCTATAAGTATGTGGAATGGGATAAGATAGTGCAACTATAATTTACTTGACCTAAAGATGTTGCACTGACATTTATTTAAATCTTTTAGTAGTTATTACTTGAAAGTACAAGGCTTGATTTTGCTACAAGATTTCTTGAAGATAATTGTGCTGCAGTGAACTATGGCAGTTTCATTAAGGGAAGTGAGCCTTCTGGAAAGGACGAGTATTGTGCACCTTATATATACCTTGTTCACATCCACATAAACATGTTCAGCCAGTTCAGCTCTCATATTTCCATAATCCTATCACAGATAGTGTTTAAAAAGCAAACCAAGGGAATGTGCAAATGCCAGTTTCATTCCGAGTTTGATAAAGAAAAGGATCTGCTAAACAGATTTGTGCAGGAGGGAAGTCAGGAAAAAGAAGTGGAAGATCATGAGTAGGAAGTGAGGAATGAGGGGAAAATGGCAGAAGAGGAGGGTAGGTGTCAAACACTAAGCAGCATAGTAAAGGTAACTGTGCTTTCTTCATCTCATTATTCCTAATAAGCTCTGTTAGCAACCTGATTAAGAAACAAGGCTTTGCTGAAAGGAAGAGAGTGGGTATCAACTGTGTAAAAGATAATTTATATTTATTAGAAGTCAGAAGTAAAAGGATTAAAAGGGTTGGGTAGCTGCTGTAGTTGAGTAGGAATTTGTTTGTTCCTAAAATCCTTTATGTTACAACAGGCAACTGACAATAAAGAGTATTCAGTGCTATTGAAAATCCACAGACTTCTGTAAAATGACAACTCCCCATCTCCTGTTTAATTCAAAGATTTCACCCAAAAGTACTTTACTTTACAAATAAGCTACAGTATGTAAGAAATAAGGACATTAATGTGAGGTGTTACATATAATTCTATTATTTTAGTAGCAACGTGCCATGTTTGTTAACTGAGTGCGCATCTGTCTAATAATTACAGCTTAAGGTACTGCTGCTGTTTACAGGCATGGAATAGAGATTCACAGGAATGTTAGTAAAGCAGCATCAAAAAGAAGCAATAGCTATCAAAGCTACTTCTTTCTTAAGTCTGAATCACTGTTACTTTATTGCTTAGCAAGTCACTTGGTTAATAGATTCATACAGCTTTGCTCAAAGAATTTAACAGGTTTTGCAAATGTAATTTCATATTTGATCTGGTTTTACCAGTGATATGTTCTTGTTGATAACACAAAAATATTATTTTACTCTGTTGCTGGATGAAATGACAGCTTTGCCTTTTAACAACTACATAATCAGCATCTGAACAGAGCTCTAGACCTTGGGCTTAGCAACCTGTGATAGTGTTGTTTAACAGTGTTGTACAACACACTGATTAGCAAACAGCATGCGCCAAGGCTTCTTAACCTGGAAATCTCCTCGGTCCTATGTTGTGAAGCTGTACTGTAAATCTTAAAGGATTTGTGAGAGGGAAACCCAGTATTTTTTCATTTAGAGTTGTGTGAATACTCAGCATAGGAAAAATATTATCTGGAGAAGGATATGGTATGTTTGAAAGAAAAGTTCTGTTACACACTAAGGGCAGAAAGCTGAAATACATGTTATGTTTTTAAGAAAACATTTACCAGATCTGAGTGAGGATAAGAGAAGAAAGATATTATTGACTACTTGACAATTTTGACTGTCTGACCTGAAAATAGGATTGGTTTTTTTTGTTTCTCCCCAGCAAGTGAAAATTGATGCTACAGCTGGGTGTAAATACATTTACTTTAGTAGTGAATTCTGTTTTTAATCTTCATGAGATGTGCCTCTCACATCCTTAACTGATCTTTTAAATTGCTTTATAATTTTGTCTTCACATTAAAGCAAATCTCAGTTTGATGGATAGCATCTAACCTAAAAATTTACTTCCAAATCAAGGTTAAAATATAAAGGTTAGTTTACTACCTACATAATAATATTATTGATGATCCACTGCAGCTGCTTTTGTTACAGTGTTTCTGTGATTATTCCTACCACCAGGTGATACTCCCAATTCTCTGCTAACAAGAGCTTGGAATGGTGACACATCTGTAGTCACCCACTCAGTTCAACTTGAATTCCCAGTCCTACTAGTGAGGAGCAGCTCTCATTTATGTCATCATTCCACTTGGTACTAACAAGTTTCCCCAACCTCCCTTTTACACCAAAATAGGAACATGGACGTGCAGAAATTTCTACTGGTAGAAATTTTCTACCATTTTTACTAGCAGAAAATAGCCTCTGCCTGCAGGAAAATCTTTTAGCTATTTCGAGATTACTTACACTACAACTGCAGCCCTTAACATCCAAATCAGTTTTATACTAAATATGTTGTTAATTTCCAGAAAAAAAGAACTTGAAATTGCAGGTTTTAAAGCTATCAAAAATTTCTGGAATTTATTTGGACCATTTTAGATTTCTCAGAGAATTTTTGGTGAAATGAAGACACC